ATTTAAAAGAAACTGAAATAAAAAAAAAAAAAGCCAAGAGTAACAAAGTCTATTTTCAAGGAGAGAAAAAATTGCACCATGGAATTGAGTTGATAACCAGCCAATGCACAGTGTGTGTGTGTGTGTGTGTGTGTGTGTGTGTGTGTGTGTGTGTGTGTCTCACAAGACAGAGTTTCTCTTAGTAGCCTTGACTGTCCGGGAACTTGCTCTGTCGACTAGGCTGATCTTGAACTCAGAGATCCTCCTGCCTCTGCTTCCCTAGTGCATGCCCCACCAAGCCCAACTCAATACACATTTCTTTTTTTTTTTTTTCCTGAGACATGGTTTCTCTGTATAGTTTTGGTGCCTGTCCTGGATCTCACTCTGTAGGCCAGGCTGACCTCGAACTCACAGAGATCTGCCTGGCTCTGCCTCCCCAGTGCTGGGATTAAAGGCATGTGCCACCACCACCAGGCTCACATTTCTTAATTATTTCATTTATACTTAGTATCTTCAGCTACTCTCATACAAATTATATGTACAAGGGCTGGATAGGTAGTTCAGCTGTTACAGGCTAGGCTCACAACCAGAATGTCAGGATTATACATGTATAGACATATAGACATGATTATTTTTGTTTGACATGGTTTCAATGTAGCCCAGGCTAGTCTTGAACTCACTGGTTAGCCCACATAGATCTTAAGCTCATAATCGTCTTGTATCTGCTTCCCGAGTTTGGAATTACATACCACTATACCTGGTTCACACACAGGTTTTATGGCCACTATCTATTCTTATTGGCTAGTGCACACATTAATTATGCAGAATATTGCCATGACAATGCCAGACGTTGAGTCATAAGGCCAGGTATGGTACATGTCTTTAATCTCAGCACTTAGTAGGTGGAGGCAGAAAGATCAGGAGGTCAAGGCCAGCCTCAGCAGTAGAGTAAGTATGAGGTCATTTTGGGCTACAAAAAAAAGTAAATAAAACAAATGAATAAGTGGGCATGGGTTAAGCACACATCTTAATCCCAGCACTTGGAAAACAGAGGCAGACAGATCTTTGTGGGATTGAAGCCAACCTGGTCTATAAAGAGAGTTCTGGACAAATACACAGTGAGATCCTGTCTCTAAATAAATAAATAAATACCTTTAATTCATGACATGGGTATTGGTTTAGGAATATACTAACTCATAAAACAGGATATGAAACCCAGAAAAGGGCTAATCTATATACAGACACTGAAATAATCAGAGGTTACATTGAAAATTGGCATGGGACTTCTAATTCTTTTGTTTGTTTGTTTGTTTATGACAGGGTTTCTCTGTATAGCTTTGGAGCCTGTCCTGAAACTTACTTTGTAGACAAGGCTGGCCTCGAACTCACAGAGATCCGCCTGCCTCTGCCTCCCAAGTGCTGGGATTAAAGGCATGTGCCACCAATGCCCGGCTTCTTTCTGATTCTTATGGAATAATGTTAGAAACCGTCCTTTAATCTTTTACAACACACACACACACACACACACACACACACACACACACACACACTCCCTAAAAAACTTTCTACTCAAAAGTCCCAACTAAAGAGTGAGTTGGAAATAGCTCAATGGCTCTGGAGACTACAGCTCAGCTTTGAATCATCTTAATCACTAAAATTAGTTTGATTATCTCCAATTGATAAGAGATTCTGGATGCTTTCCAGAAACAAATGTAAGTTCATTCTGGAGAAGAAAATACTAACCTCCCCCAACCTCCAATTATTTCTAAAAATATTTTTCCAACACAATGCCTATCACATAATCAGAATCATCCAGGAACATAAAGAGAATATTAAAGAGGTAATAATGATAAAGAATGTCCCAAAATTAGTGACAGACAACAAATCGAAGATTCAGGAATCCTGACAAGGGCCCAGCAGCATGAACACTAGATAATAACCAACCCTCATCTCAGCATATCATATTCAAACTGCAGAAAACCAAAAACATGGAGAACTGGGGTCAGGAGATGAGCCGGAGGAAATATCCCATCCACCTACAGAGGAGCAAAGATTAGAATGGTGTGGCATACTTAAGAAAGAAAAAATTATACCCACCACTCTTGAAGAAATGAAAAAGAGGCACATAAATAGAGATTTCTCATGTTTGTGATGACAGAGTCAATTGTTACAATAACATTTTTAAATATTTAGTGTGTGTGTGTGTGTGTGTGTGTGTGCATGGGTACATGCCACCATTGCATGTATGTGGAGGGCAGAGGACAACTTGTGGGACTTGGTTCTAAGGATTGAATTCAGACTGTCAGACTTGGTGGCAAGTGCCTTTATCCACTGAGCTATTTCCTCTGAGGGCCACAATATCAGTTTTGTTTCATTTTTTTTCTTCCCAATGTGGTCTATATGGATGTAAACCCAGTCAGAGTTCCAGGAAGCTATTTTATGGGTTTAGTGATTGTCAACTTAACACAAACTAGAGTGACCTGGGAAGAGATAACCTCAATTTAATTTCTTCCATCAGATTGGTCCTTTCTGTGAAGTGGGAGAGTCCAGCCCATTGTAGAAGGTGTCTTCTTCCCTAGGCAGGTGGGCCTGGGCTGCATAAATAGCTTGCTAAGTAAGCAGCAGGAGCAAGCAGGTCAACCGTATTCTCCCAGGGTTCCTGCTCTGACTTCCTTCAGTGATTGATGGTCAACCGTATTCTCCCAGGGTTCCTGCTCTGACTTCCTTCAGTGATTGATGGATGGTGACCTAGGAGCTGTAAGTTGAAATAAACCCTCTTCTCCTGAAGTTGTTTTGGATCATGGAGTTCATCTTGACATCAGAAAGCAAACTAACACAATGAGTACTGACAAGCTGACTCTAAAGTTTATAAGAAAGAAAGAAAAAAAAAAAGAGTACATAACATGATATCCAAAGAGAGCAATGTGGAGCATTGACTATTTAATTTGCAATTTGTCACAAAACAAATAAAACATTTTTAAATTAAAAAGACCCAATTAGTCAGGCAGTGGGTGTGCATGCCTTCAATCCCAGCACTCGGGAGGCAGAGGCAGGAGGGTCTCTATGAGTTCAAGGCCAGCCTGGTTTACAAAGAGTTACAAAGACAGGCTCCAAAGCTACACAGAGAAACCCTGTCTTGAAAAATATAAAAAGACCCAATTATACACACTTTTAAAGTTACCTGCTTTAAATGTAGCTATGGTGCTGGGAAGTACACCTCAGTGGTCTGGTACTCGCTTCCTTGCAACCATCAGTTCAAGGCTGGGCATGGTGGTGCATGCCTGCATTCCCAGCACTGGGAAGGTTGCAGCCAGAGAGAACCATAAGTTTGAGGCTACTTTGGACTAGGTAACAAGATCTTGTCAAAAAAGAAAGAGAAAAAAAAAACTGCTCCACCAAGAAAAAAACAGTTTGAAAAGTAGATGTACCCCAAACAAACTACCAAATATGTGATGCATACATAAACTAACAAATCTTAAGCCTAGCATGAGAGTAAATGCCTGTGACCTTAGAACTTGGAAAGTGGAAGCAGGAAGCTCGGGAGTTCAAGGTTCTACTCAACTCTATAATGAGTTAGTGACCAGCCTGGATGACATGAGACCCTGTTTCAAAAACAATAACATGGAGCTGGAGCTGAAGAGATGGCTCAGCAGTTAGAGTACAGGCTGCTCTTGTAAAGGACCTGGGTTCGATTCCCAGCACTGACAGGTAGGCTTAAACCCTTGTATAACCCCAGTTCCAGGGGATTTGACAGCTTCTTCTGACCTCAGCAAGTACCAGGCACACATGTGCCGCACATACAGACATGCATGCAGCCAAAATTCTCATATACACAATAATAATGTTTACAAATTTACTGTGTGTGTGTGTGTGTGTGTGTGTGTGTGTGTGTGTGTGTGTGTGTGTAGGAGAAAGAATACATATGTGGTGGCATGCTTGTTGAGATGAGAGGACAACTTGCAGGAGTAGGTTCTCTCATTCCACGTTGTTGAGGGTCCCTCTTGTTTCCGTCCCTCTGCTACCGGTCCCCATGATTCTCGCTTCCTCCTCCCATCTTGCCACAGAAGTGCTGGGATTACAGATGCAAGGCTCTGCATCTGGCTTTTCTATGCGGGTTCTGGGTATCCAACTCGGCTTATCAAGCTTGTTCATTAAGAGCCTACTTGGCTATCTCGCCGTTCCTTCATCTTTATGAATGTGTGCTTGTGAAAGGGGAGGTAAACACTTCAGTATTGTGATTTTACAGATAGCTTTTGGATATTAACACGCACCATGAATCAGTTTCCGTTTCTTCTTTTGCCCACGGCTCTGCAAATGTCAGGGGCCCCTACCCCCTAACTTCTTTGACCCATGGCATCCTTTTCAGGAAAAGGAGATAGCACCTCTGAGTTAGCATAGGGAGGAACCAGGCACGAGCGCTGAGTAAATATGGCTACATAAGTTCTCTCGCTCTCCTGAGGAAGAAATCAGCGCTTGGGGGCTTGTTTTAGGATGCAAGAGGAGGGAGTGTGTTTGAGGCTCAGGAGCAAGGAAGTGGTTGAAGATACCAAAGAGGTGTGTGATGGAGCCCCGTAGGATGGGTTCCGTGGGACTGGCTTCGGTAGTAGGGATAGAGAGGTGGAAGCCCCATCTGCCCCGCAGAAAACGGTCTCCCTGTTGGAGGTGTGCAGGAAGGGATCGGCTCTGACTCCCGCAGACATCGCCACGCATGACGAAGCTACTTCCCATCCACTGCCACGCCCGCACACCCTCCACATACAGGGCAGCTGAGGGTCCGGTTGCCATGGAGAGCGGGAGCGCGTGAGCCCAGCCGCTCCTCCCGCGCCCCCCACCCCCGCCCCAGCTCAGCCAACTCCCACTCTGATTGGCCACCGCTATCTCATTATGCAAATCACTTGCGTAGACTGGCCCGGGTAGCTGTCTGACGTCACTAAACTCGGGGGGGGAGTGGTGGAGGGGCTGGGGCTCGGGGCTGGGCTTGGCGAGCTAGGGCGGGAGCCCAGAGAGCTCCGAGGGGGACTCCAGCCGGACCCAGGCGCCCCGCCCTAGACCACGCCCCTTCTTAATCCGCCCCGCCCCTCGCTCTCGGCCGGGCCCCGCCCCTCGCTCTCGGCCGGGAGCCGCCCCCTGGATAGCCCCCCGCCCTCGCAGCCGGGCCCCGCCCCCTCCCCCCAGGCCCTCGCCAGCAGTCCAGGGAAGGGACGGCGGGACAAGCCGGACGCGCGGGAGGGCGGACGGGGCGGGGACATGGCCGCGGCGCCCGGAGGGTCTGCGCCGCCCGCCGGCCCCGGCCCGCGCCTGGCTTTCAGCACCGCGGACAGCGGCGTCGGCATGAGCGGGCTGAACCCAGGTCCCGCGGTGCCCATGAAGGACCACGACGCCATCAAGCTCTTCGTGGGGCAGATCCCGCGGGGCTTGGACGAGCAGGACCTCAAGCCGCTGTTCGAGGAGTTCGGCCGCATCTACGAGCTGACGGTGCTGAAGGACCGGCTCACCGGCCTCCACAAAGGTGCGCGGGGTCAGCCCAGCCCAGCCCAGCCCAGCCCCAATCCAATTAGAGCGCAGCCCAACCCAACCCTGGCCCCAAACGCAGGCCCAACCCCAGCCCTACCTAGAGCCAGCCCAGTACCTGCCCCACCTCAGCTCTGTCCCCTCCCCAGGTCACAGAGCCCCAGACCCAGAATTTTCTCTGTGACATCTTCCTGAGCACCACTCCGATTCTCTAACAGGTTCTTCACTCTAACCTCCAAATCCCTTGTTACTTCTCACATCCCAACCATTCCCACCTCCCAGCTGGACCTCTCCACCATCCCTCCCATCAGACACCCCAAAGCCTGGAATTTGGAAACTTATTCTACCTCCCAGCTCTGGAGTACTCGGTCTCCTGATCCCTGGACTCATGTATTTCCAGAGCCCTCTGGTGCCACCCTACTCAGGCCTAACCACTCATACACATCTTGGATTTGCACCCCTCCTTCTGGCCTCCAACCCTAGCCAGCCCCAAAAGCCTCCAATTAACTCTTGTGTCTGGCAGCTTTAAACATCCCATGCCCAAATTCCTCTTCCCCTTCAGAATTCAAACCTGTCTAATCTACACAGTCCAATTCACCTCCCAGGAGACTCTCAGAGACAAATGCCCTCTCACATTTGACAATAACCCTGATATCTCATATATTTTTCCAGAACCCCAACACTCTTTACCTCTTCTGATTTGAATCCAGAATCCCAGCCTCAGCTGGGAACATCCGCCTTCCTGCATCCCCTTCACCTTAGGTTCTCCCTTAGATGAAGACACTTTTTCCCATCACTCATCCCCACTCCCTTCTGCTCCCTCTCAATCCTCCTGGTGACCTCCTCTTTTCCTTCCTTTGCTGCCTGGTCCCAGACCAGAGCACTCGAGGGGTGGGGTCAGTCTAATGAGGAAGATGGAGATGGTGCCCCTTCTCCCTGCCTTTCCTAGGAAGACAGAGGCACCATGGTCCTGTCCAGCCACACCCCTTTCTTCCTGTAGAGAAGGGAGGAGACTTGTTTACATGCAGAAAAGTCTGTCCAGGCTGGGCTGGAATAACAGAGCCGGAATCATATAATAATAATTTGAGGAGAAACGTCCTTATTTCTCCACTGGGAAATAATGTGGCTTCGAGATTTTGGTGGGGGGGAGGGTCACCAACTCTGCTCCATAGTCTTCCTAAGAGAAAAGTGACAGGTCTTGCCGGGCAGGTCCACTCTGAAGGCTTGGGTGCTAGCGTCAGGCTGCTACTTCTTTCCTGCCGGAGACCCCAGAGCATTCCTTGGCATGCTAATTGTAGGGGGCTTTGAGAAAATGTCCACGAAAGACCTGGCCCATTTGAGTAGGGGGACCTTTTGGTGAGGTTATGTTAACGTGCCACAAGGAAAAGTTCACGTCATCCAGACTGCTTACAGGGCAGCCCAGCTGCCTGTCTGTCTTCCTGCCCGTCCACTTACAGCACTTTTCTCTAGACATTGATTTCAGTAGGCAAGCATAAAACTAATCTTTGTAGATGATCTGTAGAATAAAGCATGGAATAGCTGCAATTCTCACTTAAACACTCAAACACTCGGAGTCTCTGAACTGTTCCCTTATTCACTGTTCCTTCCCATTAAGCACCAATTCTTCCTGTTCCTCCCCATACTCATGTGTCCCTTAAGCCATGCTTCTCTGTATTTCCATCATACCATTCTTCCACCTTCTAACCCAAGCAACCTACATGGGTTTTTTGTGGTAGCACCTGGGCTCCTAAGCCTTTCATAAAGCCCCTTCCAGTCTGAGGTCAGATGTTATGGCTCAGTGGCAGAACTGATAAGTATGAGACCCAGGGTTAGGTGAGTTAGTCCCGAAACAGTCTACACCTCTCCAAGGAAAGTGTGGCCTTGTGAGATATAGAGGCAGCCTGGAGGGCCTTCAAGTCAATATTCCAACTTTCTCCCCAGCAACCATGTTTAAATGCTAAAATGACTCATTTTCATTCTGATGGCTGAGTATTGAGGGAGAAAAAGCCACTATGCTTTGAAAACAACCATAGCCCAGGAATTCCAAAATCCCAAACCCTGACCTGTGACTGACATAATCTCTAGCTTCAGTTACCCTACGGATATGAGAACACTCTAGCTAAGAGTTCTCAATAAACCACAGGCAATCCTTCCATCCTAAGGAGGCAGTTCCATAGAAGGTGCCACTGAAAAAATAAGAAATCAAACATTTCCCATTTGCTTTTCTAGTCAGCTGTCTGAGCAGAAAACTACACCAGCTCCTAATGGCTTCCCACATGCATGTGCCCTTCCTCGGTCCTTCTCCTTCCTCTACTCAAAAGGTTTGTTCTGAAAATGTAGGTTTTATCATGTCACAACCCTAGTGAAAACCCTTTAGTGGCTCTCCATTGCTCTAAAGGATGAGTACGAATTTATTGAGGTCTCTAAGGCTATCTGTAACCCAATCCCTGCATACCTCACTAGCCACTGAGCTCGAACTCCTAAGGCTTCACCCATACTAGCTTTCTATCCATTTCTCCAACACACCACATTTTGGCTCAGTTTTCATTCCTCCCACCTGATATAATCACACCCCTCTTCTTATCTGGTTCTAAAGGACTCATTATTCCTGTTCTTGAGAACTCAATGTCTTCTATTTTATCTTCATCATTATTTGCTGGGGTTTGAACCTAAGATCTCATGTATGCTAGGTAAGAACTCTACCACTGAGTTACATCCCCACCCTCAGTGTCTTCTTGTAGACAGTCCTCAACACTGGGAAACAGACTCAGGTACTCCTCATGACATCCAGTCTCCAAGAACTCCTCTCCATTTTTAACCCATCCTAATGCCCAACCAAATAAGTAAGTATTGGATATTTTCTGGATGAATGGATATTTTCAGTGAATATTGGACAGGAAGACACCTACCTACTTCAGTGTTTTCCAGCATCCTGCAGATTTTGAAGCTGAACACAGTGGCATAGTAGGCCCTACTCTTTAGCTCAACCTGGACTCATCCCCTGACCCAATGACTAGGCTTCTTTTACAGGAGTCCAGGTTGGGTCCCAAATAACTCTTTAAGGGCCCTGTCTTGACAGACCAAGGTCCTTGGATAGGGTTAGGGAGTTTCTAGAATTTCCTACTTATAGGAAGCCCTCAGACCTGAACCAAGGCTGAAATCAAATCCATTCCTAAACTTCAAACTTAGGGAAGGAAGTGTTGGGAAGTAGCTGGCCTTCAACCCTTCCTCTTCCTCTTTTTTTCTTCTGCCACTTGAAACTAGGAAGTTTCAAACCAGGAAATTAGGAAGGAATTGAGGCTGATCCTTGGAGACGATGAGTCTATATCTAAAGTAGATGGGCGTTGTGGGGGTGGGGTACTGCGCTGAAGAAGGCAAAGCCGCTTAGGGAGGTTTAACCCTGACAGGACTTATGGATGGACTGAGGAGGGAAGCTGTGGGATTGAATGAGCACATGACTGGATGCATGGGTACAGATGTTTCTTGGACAGAAGGCCAGGAGAAAATGAGAGGTAGCCAGAGCTTAGGACATAAGTCCCCAAGCAGGTGAAGACTCTCCCATCACAGAACACTTCACAGGGCAGCATTCATGTTTCCAGGATAGTGACCCTGAGTTTGTTAACTTATTTGGATCTTACCAAGAAGAATGTTGAGGGGGTTCAGAAAACCCCCTGAGCCAGGCTCTTCCTCCTCAGGCTGTGCCTTCCTCACCTACTGCGCCCGGGACTCTGCTCTCAAGGCCCAGAGTGCACTGCATGAACAGAAGACCCTGCCAGGGGTAAGTCAACCAAGGTTGAGGGCGGGATGGGTGAGAATCACTTCAAGCTTGGAACATGCTCTACGTGTATGCCAAAGCAGTATACAGGGTGAAGTTGGCACCAGCAGCTAGAAACAGGGTCATCTGCCCAGGAAAGGGTTTATGTGTTCCTTGAACAACTCAAGCCCCATGTTACACTCAGTCTTCTGGTCAAAGAAATGGGCTCAAGACACTTGAGCCAAGTGTTCCAACTTATTTTTTAGAAGAGACATGATGATGTAAGCTAAGTTAGAATTTTCCACTCTGGCTAAACTCATGGTTTCGGGTGTTACTTGTCTCTACTGTGAGCATGTATGTGGTGATGTAGGGGAGAGGCTCTGTGGAATCACTATGCTGTGTTCTCCAATCTTGTGGTCCTTGATGATGCTTTCCTGCGGTCTTCTTCCTGTAACACGTTTGGGGTACCTTGACTCACCAAAATCGTCTTCTTTCCATGTTACAAAAGAGCTAAAGCTAAAAGGGACTTCTTGGTTTTATAGACACCCAGGATTATATGATCTGGCCTCAACTAATGGATGGTCACAAGTAAAGAAAATGGAACCTCCCATCCATGTGGTAGTGACAATTAGGATCTAGCATAGGTTACCAAGAGGAAAACATACTTCCCAGCCTCATTTTTTCCTATCTGAAGAGTGTTGTGTCTGGAAAAAGAGCAATATTCAAATGCCATGAGTAGGCAAAGTCTGGAACAATGTCCGTTTTAGACTTAAGAAGGTCACTGGCCTATTAGAAAGAGACCCAGATAGAATTAAGGCACAAAGACACAAAATAGATCATGAGATATGTTCAAAGGAATTGCAGATAAATATGTCTGGAGGAAAAAAAGAGTTTAATGGGATTTTAATATGAACACATCATAGCATGATAATTAAAAATACTTCGTTTCACATTGTTCAGACTTAGATTTGAACCTCACCTCTGTCACTTACCGTGATGTTCTGGTTCCTTCACTCAGGCTTTAGTTTTCTCACTTCTAGGGAATGGATTGTACTAACAATGTAGCCTCTTGGGCTGTAGTAAGGGAGAAGTCCCAGCAAATATGACTGTTACCTTAAGATCTTGACAAAGGACTTGATTTTCTTTCTTTCTCTCTCTCTCTCTCTCTTTTTTTTTTTTTTTTTGGGGGGGGGGGGTTCGAGACAGGGTTTCTCTGTAGCTTTGGAGCCTGTCCTGGACTAGCTCTGTAGACCAGGCTGGCTTCGAACTCACAGAGATCCACCTGCCTCAGCCTCCCAAGTGCTGGGATTAAAGGTGGGCACCACCACCACCACCACCACCACCACCACCCAGCTCTCTGAGCAAGTTTAAAACCCAAGTTTTTCCGGGCATGCCTTTAATCCCAGCACTTCAGAGGCAGAGACAGGTAGAGGCTCTGTGAGTTTGAGACCAACCTGATCTGTATCGTGAGTTCCAGGACAACCAGGGCTACATAGTGAGACCCTGCCTCAAAAAAAAAAAAATACAATAAAACCTGAGTTTCTTCATCTATAAGACTGAATTCATGGGCAGATGGGCTAAGTCATGTGGAGTACAGAGCGCAGCAGAAAGTGAGCCTGCAGTGTGGCGTAGCCAGCGGTAGTGGTAGCAGTCACTGAGAGAGAGCGACGTTAGTAGGAGCAGTTGTAGAAAGCATCATTCATCTAACCGTGGGAGCAGACGAGTCCTGCTGCTAGAACAGGCATCCAGACGAGCTGGAACACCCATGCAGGAAGCAGCGTGCTAAAAATTCAGAGTTGGAAGAAAGAGGTGGGTGTGAGGTGGATGGGCCTAACGGTGGGAGGGGGAACCCCAGGAGAGTCTGGGCCAGGCTGAGGGCAGGATCCTACAGAGGGCTGCAGCTGAAGGGGAAACAAGTGGGAGATCTGGAGATTTGCTTTACCTGAGCAAATTAAGAGGGCTTGGGAGAAAAAGCTTCTGAAGAAGTGACGAGCAGCCCCTGTGGGGTTTTATAAGCATGGGTGCTCCTTGGAAAAGGACACTGAAGCCCCAGAGACCTGGGAGGATTGATTCTAAGGGAGAAAAGCAAAATAGTAATAACCAACAGTTCTCAGCACCAACATTCAGGGCATTTTACTTGTTCAAGTCATTTAATCCTTTTTGAAGACAGTATTGTTACTGCCCCCACCCCCATCTTACAGATGAAGAGACTGAGTCTTCAAGGGAGCTGCCCAAGCTCATGTAGGAGAAGCTCTGGTCATTGAGCCCGGTTAGTCTATTTGCTTAATTGCTCCACTGTTACATGAGCTAACTTGGTGGCAGATGTGGCTTAGTTTCTTTCTTAGTTTCTGAAGAGTGTGGCACTCGAGGACCCCTGCCTTCTTCCACACCTCCATCTGCAGACCTCCAGTGTGGACTGGTTTCCTCTGTTACCGCCAGGATTGACTTTATTCACCCTTCTCAACTTAACAAAGTGAAAATTAATATTTAATTAGCCTCTTAAATGAAAATCAATGGCACTGTTGGCTAGCCCCGGCAACATCCATGCCATCAATCTTTCCTTTGAGCTTGCCAGGGGCAGCAGCAACTTTTATGAGAGAGGACCGGGCACCCTGCCTTCTGTAGGTACTAGGTCCTGGGTGTAGCTGCCATCTGCTGGAGAGACAGGGATAAGACTTCAGTCTGTATTTTTGCTGGAATGTGGCAAAACTGAAGGGTAGGAAGCCTGGAAAGGCTGAGTGAAGCCCCCCCCCCCCCAAGAAAGCCTGAATCTTCACGGGAAACAGCATAGTTTGTTCTGGAGTGAGACCTCCTCTCGGATCCTCTCCATTTACCCACTGCCAGTCTCTGCCACCTATTGAAGCTCGGCTCCCTACTCAGAACTTCCTTCAAACTGCAGCCAACTGCCTCCTGGCTCTCAGTTCCCAAAGTCTCTTCCTGGCGAAGCTACTGCTGTTTTTTTGAGCCTCGCTCTAGGTCTAGAATCCACATGAAGAGAATGAAGCCAACTTCGTCCCTACTTCTGGGATTAAGAGGGTGTCCCTTATTGGTCTCTCTCCCTGTCCATGACCTCCCTTCTTTGAAGAGCCTACCCCTTCAGACACCAGGAAAGAGGCAGATACAACCAAGTGGAGGGAGGTATTTGCTTGCACAAGCTGTGTCCTGTGCAAAACAACTTGGGAGGAGAGAGAAAATAGAAGTTAAACCCCACTATATTCTATAGCCCAAGCCATGCCCTCAAGAAGCTCCCGGTTCAGAGGTAACTCATTGCACTGCACTGGAGTTACACCTGGACATGTAAAAGAGGCCTCAGGAGTGGAGAGGGAGGAGAGTGCTACCAGATGCTTTCTTCATATCCGAGGGTCTGAAAAGCTAAAAGCCAAAGGCCACTTCTGAAATCTGAGGATACTATGAGAACTGACAAGAATGTCTCCCAGCAAAGATGACTGGCTGTGATTGGTAAAGTGTGCTATGCATGCTGGGTAGAGGAGACAGGACCCACAAGTTCTGACAGTCAGTCCTGGGTGCATTTTAGAAGAGTTAGGGATGAAGATTTGAAGATTACCCTGGCTACAGCATGGAGACCGAACTGAAGCGGGAGAAATAGCGGAGGCAAGACAATGGGACAACGTCGCTTCTGAATAGGCCAGTGGTGAAGCGAGCTGCCCTGGAGCTGGGATGGTGCAGGAGTGGAGAGGAGAGGATGGGCTCATGGCATGCCTGTGGACTCTAGAGCTCACGGGATTTCATAGTGAGCCGGGTTAGAGCAAGTGTGGTAAGCCGAGCAGTGCTGGCCCACGCTTTTAATCCCAGCACTCGGGAGGCAGAGGCAGGTGAATCGCGGTGAGTTCAAGGCCAGCCTGGTCTATGGAGAGAGTTCCAGGGCAACTAGGGCTACACAGAGAAACCGAGTCTCAAAAAACAAAACTAACAAACAAAAGAAGTGAGGATGTGTGGTAGAACCAAGCCCTGAAAATGATGATGTTGAGGGTTGCCATACCCTTCCTTGACCCTCATGACACCTCTCCTAGACTCACCGACAGTCCTTCTCAGGGGAGTACTGATAAAACCCCTTCCTGTGGGGAGGGAATGCTGAGTGAGGGATAGAATCAGGACAGGGTGATGAAAAGCCCAAAGACAGTCTGTAGGAGAAATGGGACACACCTTGCTTCCCTTCTGCTTCCTGGCTCAAGAGAACAGGGCCTTGTACAGGTCTGGTTGCCTCTAACCTTACCCACCCCACTTCGTGGAGTAGGTTGTTCTCTTCTCTCTGATATTCTCTACCTTGATTTCCCCTTCAGGGCCCTGACACAGACATGGGCCTGGGAAACTCCTGGAGGAACAGGTGATTAGTCCAGGCAAACACTCACCTGAAATCTCATGACAAGTTAGTTCGTGGTTGGGGAGTCAATGCCCCCATCCCCCGCCCCCCCCCATGGCAGGATGGAAACAGGCAGGGTTGCCCAGTAGCTCTCATGAGCAGCGTCCCCCTCCAGCCGTGAGTGGCACACCTAAACCGCAGGTGTTCCCCATAATCCCTGCCTGTGGTGCTGAGGCTCAGGCCTGGGAAGCCAGTTCCTGAGCTGTAATCCTGAGTCAGCCCACATGCCCTCCTTTCCCTCGGCCCCACCCTCAACAGAACTATGGTTTAGTTCATTTGTCCAGAACATCTTTTGGGTCTGTCCATTTCCTTCTACAATGGTCCCAGTCACCCTCACCTCCCACCCACATCACCGACCTTCCTGCCTCTTCTCACTCCCTTCCCAATCCTCTCTCTGCACTGTGACAACTTATGAGATACTTTCTAAGACTAAACAGACCAGATCATCACCTGTCCTCCTTTTTAAAGTCCCTCCCTGCATCCTTATAGCATTTAAAATATATTCATGTCAAAATCCTTGACATGCTTCTTTCAGCCTGCCCTGATCTGGTTCCTGCCTGCCTTTCAGTTTCACCCTGTTTCACCAAAACAAAATAAAAACAAAAGCAAAAATTTGTAAAGCCCAAAAGACACACAGAAGCACACAAAAAGAAAAAAAAAAACACCTATCATATCTAATATACCTACTAAGATCTGGTTCTTGTTATTTCCACCACAAACCCTCAAGCATAAGAACGACTCCCCCTCTTATGAGTGGGGATACTGAGGCTCAAAGACCTTAGAGAAGTTGCCAGTGATGTAACCAGGACTGAAATTCCCATCTGTCTCGTGAGCAGTTTGTCTTCAGGAGCTGGAGCCATTGCTCTTTCAGGCTTGACGTTCCCTGTCTCTACTCTAGCTGTCTAGAATGCTCAGCTGCCTGCCCTGCCTCTGCCATTATCTCTACCCACTCTGACTACAAGGCCCAGAGCAAACACTGTTTCTTCATGGATTGTTTCCTGTGTCTTCCTTTCCAGATGCAGCCAGCCTCACTAATAGCTCCTCACTTTGCATTGTCTCTAAGGCCCTGGTACCTCTGTGTCTCATTATTTGTGTCCATGTCTTAAGAATGGCCTGGAAAGATGGTTCAGTCAGTAAAGTGCCTGCTGTACAAGCATGGGGACCTGAGTTTGCCCCCTCCACCCCCCAGAACCCACATACAAAGCCAACGGCAATGATACATTTCTGTAATTCCAGGATTGCAGGAAGTCCCCAGGTTTGCTGGCCAACCTGTGTAATTCAGTCTAGCTGAATTACAGAACTCCAGGTTTAGTAAGAGATCCTGTCTGAAAAAAAAAAAAAACAAAAAACAAAAAACAAGACAGAGGGGACTCATGGTTAAGAGCACTGGATGCTCTACCAGAGAACACAGACTCAATGGAAGTTTACAAACATCTGTAACTACAGTTCCGGGGTATCTTCTAGTCTCTGTGTGCACCACTGCACACACGTGATGCACAGATATACATGCAGACAAAACACCCATACACATAAAATAAAAATAAATAAATCTTTTTATAGAGTGAGGAAGAGACCTGATATTAACTCTGACCTTCACACACACACACACACACACACACACACACACACACACACACACACTTGAGTGAATGCACAGTGAACTTGAGCTGGGAGTGGTGATACTATTACCCAGCTGTCAGGAGACTGAGGTAGGAGGATCATGAGTTTGTGGCTAGCTTAGGCTATTAACAAGTTCTAGGGCATCCTGAGCTACATAGTAAAACTATCTTAAAAACAAAAACACAAACAAATGAAAAACAAGGAGTTGAGCAGTAGGGTGCAAAAAATCAGGAGCTTTACCATCAGTCAGACATGGGGTGAATCTCTAAGTACCCACAATGTAATCCTAGACAAATAACTCTCCCTGGGCCTCAGCTTTCTCATCCATAGTATGGGGACAGTAGACCTCCTGAAGTGGTTAGAAATATTTGGAGACAACGTATATAAATAGTCCCAGGGGAAGGCTTGGCATGTTGTGTGCTCTCAGAAAACGGGGCCTTATCTTCTCTGTGAGCCTGTGAGGGGAGTCTCCATCCAAGCATCACTAGGGCTCATCACAGAGTTCCATAAATGTTGGCAGCATGCCTGACTGGCAGACAGTGTAGACCTTGAGTCTCTTGAGGATTGGACCCTGGCAGGCCCATGTAAAAATTCATACATACCACCCAATTTCCACTCTCCATCAAAAGGTCAGGTGGTTGGGAAGAGGGAAGGGAGCATCCCCCCAGAGCACCAGTGAGCACCATCTCCCAGGAAACCCAGCCAAGAGCTACCATGGAAACCGCTGCTGTCACATGCGCTCGTCACTCTAGGCTCCAGAGAAAAATTCTCAGGATCTATTTAAGAACTAATAAAATAATGATGGTTTTGCTCACTCTCACTGACCCCCCCAGCTCAGGCTTCTGCCCCTCTCCTTTCTACCAGGCTTTCCTGGCTCCCCGAGACCTGCTTTCTGCCCACCCCCTTTCCCTCCCTTTCCCACCAGTAATTCTCTTTCCTTGCCCCTTTCTAGGTCTGTCTCTTACTTTCTCCCATAATTTCTGTCTTGCTGTGTTTCTTCATCATTCCCCATGTCTCTGCTCTCCATAGCTCTGTCTCTCGGTTTCTCCTCCACACTCACAGGTGGCCATGCCTAGGGACTGGTCCTGTCCTCCTGGTCCCTGGTCCAGGCCAGTCCAGACCTGTCCAGCTCGCCCTGATCTGCTTGGATTGATCTGTCATCCCCTCTAGACTACAACCTGAGTCCTGTCGGTGTCTCGGCCCCCACCCACAGCCTGGTACACTGCAGGTGCTCCACTACCAGAGGGTGGGTGTGTCAGAGCCTTGGGTGGGAGGGAGGATTACAATGGTTCAGGCTTGGCCTGTTTTCCCTTCCCCCCCCCCTTTTTTTTAAAATGAGTCTTCCTCACCCCTCCCACCCCAAAATTTGATCCAAAGAAATTGCTCAGCTGTGACTGCCAGGGTGTTACCATGGTTACTGGGTAGCACTTGTGGCTATGGTAACAGGAAGCTGCCTGTTGTCTCGGCAACGAGCACATTGGAAGGGATGGAGTGGTCCCTGATTGGTGCAGAAGCCGTACGTTTCCTGAGGGGAGGGGGTCAGATCATCACCTTCTCAGGCCAGATGGGCATCAGTTACCCCTTCCTCCAGGAACAGGAAGGCCGCTGTTCCTTCCTCCCGGCACTCAGCTGTCTGCCCCCAACATCAATCCCTCACATCCCACGCACCAAGCTCTTGGCAGTTTACCAAGACCTTCTGCACCCCCATTACCTCATGTGATCCCCACAACACCTATGAGAGGAAGGTGAGATGGGGATTCAATCATGAATTCACTTAGGGTGGTTGGGGGATGGGAAGGTGGGGGTATATATTGAATCACCTAGGAGCTCTTTCAGGTTATACAGTCCCCCACCTTAAGAATCTAATATGGTTCCCAGGTGATTTTTTTAACCACGTCTAATCAGGGAACCCTTGAATTAAAAGGTGAAGCTGGCTGGAGGAGGGAAGGGTTGGAGGGAAAAGTTAAGTTGCTTTCTAGGTTTATAACCTGAGTGATGGAGGATCGAGTTGGGGTGAAGGGATGAGCTCGGGTTCTGGTGTGTTGAGTGGGAAGTGCCAGGGGGCCTTTCTAGCCAGGATGCCCAGCGTGCAGCTGGGAACATGGGTCTGAGGCTCAGGAGAGGATGTGGGCTGGAGACGCAGAGGTCTGAGTCATCCCTGTGTGGATAACTGCTGGGGCTGTGGGTGTGGGTGAAGCGATTCAAGAATTGGAAGAGAGAGATGAGCAGGGAGAAAATGGTGCCTAGAGAACCCTAGGCTGTCAGGGAAAGGGGCACTCAGGAGGGACGGAGGGGTGAGTGCAGAGACCAGCATGGCACCGACAGCTGGGAATGTTTTCCCAGATTAGGAAACTGGATTTGAGAGAGAGTGACTCACTTAAAATCATACAACCAAGAAATGGCAGCCTTAGGGGTGTATAGCGCTAAGTCTGTGTCCCAGACTGTTTAATCTAAATAACACACAGCTAGAGTCTCAGTTTTAGACATAAACCACAAATGTGCTATAGCAATTACACCCTCCCACCCAATTCCTCTCACTCAAAGCCTTTATGTAAGTCCAGGAGCCTAAGAAACAGGCACCACATGGAGCTACCCCGAATCCAAGACAGAAAATCTCATTAGCCACTGCATCCACCCTATGCTTGTGACTGAGCTTCCTTCCGTCCACTCCTTCAGGTTCCAGCACTTTCTAAACATCTGGGTTTAAGGAAGCAATGTTGGAGAGAATCTGTAATCCCAATGGGAGTGGAGGGGTGCAGAGTGTAAGGAAGGCTGGGACTCAGAGCCTGAGGAGCTCATTGGGAAGAAAGAATGAGGCCTTGGGACCAGGCAGTCATGCTAAATGGGTGTGTTGGTCCCATGTCTTTCAGATGAATCGTCCGATCCAAGTGAAGCCGGCTGCCAGTGAGGGCCGAGGAGGTAACTTCCCTGTCTGACAAACCTCGGAGTGGTACCTGAGTAGAGGATGGGTGGGCCCATTCCTGGAGTTAGTCCTATGCCAGGGCTTATGACTAGACCCGACCCAGGTTAGTGGAGACTAGAATTGTGCATCTCAAGGAATAGCTCAGCCATCTCAACTCAGACTGAGAAGGGATAGGTTCTAGAAAGCTTAGACCCAGAAGTGGCAGAAAGGGCAGAAGCAGAGGAAGGAAACTCTTGCTGCCTTACTCCTGGAGAATGGCCATTACTGCCTTGCCAGGTGGAATTTACAGGTGCATATAAAGAAGCAAGCTGGGGTGGTTCTCCTTTTTCAGATTCCTCTAGGTCCACAGAAGGGACCTCTCATTCTTTCCCATCATGGCCTGATTAATCACCATAAAAGATGAGCTGGCACAACAGGTATTGTGAACCATAGTAAGGAACGTAGCTGTGAGCTGAGGCTCACAGAAGTCTGTAGACATTCTTAGCTGCACTGTTTCATAGTAGAGAGAGCACTGCTTCTTAAGAAGAGTGGTGAGGAGCTCTCATAGCTGTGTTCTGGTCAGCTCCCCTGCTAGAAAGGCAACGCTGACTTCTAGAGTCAGTACTTGATATCTTTCTTGTCCTTGGGTCCTAGATTATTCCAAGGTATCTGCAGCCCTCCTTGGTGTCTGCTAACTCTCCCACTCTGATAAGATATCTGTCGATCTTACCCAAGATCAGCCATTGCTTCCTTATGTGAGAGTCTAAGATTTAGGAGAGAATGCATCTCATTGATAGAGACTTGTATTAACACCCTACTAATTCCTTCACACCCTCCCTTGATTTCCTGTCTACATTCACTGGGCACTTTGGTGGCATCAAGATTCTGTTTGGTCCCAATAAATATTCCTTCCTCTCTTTAGATTCTTTGACATCTGTCTTTGATTCATAATCTCTGGCCAAGATATTATCAGCCCCACATTGCCTTGGAGAGAGATGTCTAGGTTCCTTTTCTCTTTCCATCTTTTTTCATCTCAGTCTTTTCCAGACAGGCTTTTCTGATGCGCCAACTGCATACAAAACATGTTCAAGAACCTCTTCTCTTGCCGGGCGGTGGTGGCGCACGCCTTTAATCCCAGCACTTGGGAGGCAGAGGCAGGCGGATCTCTGTGAGTTCGAGGCCAGCCTGGACTACCAAGTGAGTTCCAGGAAAGGCGCAAAGCTACACAGAGAAACCCTGTCT